GCCCGGCTATTTTTGGGTTGCAGCCGTCATTGTAGATTGGCGGGTCTGGGCTGGGGATTCGAACCCGCCACCTTAGGTGTACGTGGCTGGCGCCTTGGCTACGTGAGCCACAGGCGCCGAGCCAGGTCTCCCTTTCAGGATACCTGGAGTCCCTCTCAGGACCAGGAAAGAATGAATTTGTAAACCTGAGTTTCGAGTTTCAGAGATACAGAACATAAGAGACATAGAAGCAGTATTTTCATCTTTGGTTTTTCACAGAAATGGTAATTTTGTTCTTTCTTTGTTAATAATAATAGCCCATTTTGTGTATTGGATTTCTTTCAGGTGAGAAAGAAAAACTTAAGACCCCAGAACCTACTAGTGAGCAAGCCTTGCCTAAGGGAGTCTTACTCCAAGGACAGCTAACACAGGGAGCCTCAGGGGACTCCCAGGTGGGGCAAGGCAAGGATCAGAATGGGCTGTCTGAAATGCAAAAAGGACACTTGAGACCAGAGACAGATCCCCAGGAGAGGCTTCCTGGGAGAATGAGCCCTGAACATGATGGGTTAGGGACAGCTGGTGGTACATGTTCAAGGATTATACAAGAGCAAGTCTGTCCAGGAGATATAGCCCATAACTCACATGGATCAGGTAAAGATCTCATGCTTCAGGAAGAAGAAAATATCTTTAAGTGCAATGAATGTGGAAAAGTGTTTAACAAGAAACACCTCCTTGCTGGACATGAGAAAATTCACTCTGGAGTTAAGCCCTATGAATGCACAGAATGTGGAAAAACCTTCATTAAGAGCACGCATCTCCTTCAACACCACATGATCCACACTGGCGAGAGGCCCTATGAATGCATGGAGTGTGGAAAGGCTTTCAACCGCAAATCATACCTTACACAGCACCAGAGGATTCACAGTGGAGAGAAGCCTTATAAATGCAGTGAGTGTGGAAAGGCCTTTACCCATCGATCTAATTTTGTCTTGCATAACAGAAGACACACTGGAGAAAAATCCTTTGTTTGCTCAGAATGTGGGCAGGTCTTTCAACATAGGCCAGGTTTTCTTCGACATTATGTTGTCCACAATGGTGAGAATCCCTATGAGTGCTTGGAGTGTGGCAAGGTCTTCAAACATAGATCATATCTCATGTGGCACCAGCAGACTCACACTGGAGAGAAGCCCTATGAGTGCAGTGAATGTGGAAAAGTGTTCTTGGAGAGTGCAGCCCTGGTTCACCACTATGTCATCCATACTGGAGAGAAGCCCTTTGAGTGCCTGGAGTGTGGGAAGGCCTTCAACCACAGGTCATACCTGAAGAGGCACCAGCGGATTCATACTGGGGAGAAGCCATTTGTGTGTGGTGAATGTGGAAAGGCCTTCACCCACTGCTCTACTTTTATCCTTCATAAAAGGGCCCACACTGGAGAAAAACCTTTTGAGTGCAAAGAATGTGGGAAAGCCTTTAGCAATCGGAAAGACCTTATTCGTCACTTCAGCATTCACACTGGAGAAAAGCCCTATGAGTGCGTGGAGTGTGGAAAGGCCTTCACCCGCATGTCAGGCCTCACACGACACAAGCGGATTCATAGTGGAGAGAAACCTTATGAATGTGTTGAGTGTGGAAAATCCTTTTGCTGGAGCACAAACCTCATTCGACATGCCATCATCCACACTGGAGAGAAACCCTATAAGTGTAGTGAATGTGGAAAGGCCTTTAGTCGCAGCTCATCCCTCACTCAGCATCAAAGGATGCATACTGGCAGAAACACTATCAGTGTAACAGATGTGGCAAGACCTTTTACAAGTGTGCAAACCTCAGTTACACTCCGTGAACTCCTTTTGGGGAAAGACTTTGTGAATGTAACCACTGAGGTAAATCTTTTGCCAAAGGAAACAACTTCTGCATCTGATCATGCATACCAAAGAGAAACGCCACAAGTGTCTTCACTGAGAAATCCTTCTGTTACAGAGTATTACTTGTCATCTACAATGAAGTCATAGTAAAAATCAGCCCAGCATAGAGCCTTATTCTGCATTTGAGAATTCATTCTGGAGACAGAACCAGTGGTTATTGTACATACAGGGAGAACTTTAGCTATTACTTTCTCCTTAGTTTACAGTGCAGTGTTATCTCAGGAATTCTTTTTAAAAGGAGGAGCTATAGAAAATGAAATGCAGGCACAGACTTCTCTCCCAAGCCTATGGCACCTTGTCATTGATTCCTTAGTTTATTTAAGGCAAGAGAAGTATTTCAGAGATAAAGGACCTCAACCCTTTTTGTTTCTTGTGTGTGCATTCATTGCTGTCCAGTGTGAGGATAATTAGTTGAGGGCAAGTCTGCAAACCTTATTGCACATCTGTGTTCCACAGTAGTCTTTACGCTTAGGAAACATAACCCTTTTTTTTTTTTTTGGTAGAGACAGTCTTACTTTGTCACCCTCCATAGAGTGCTGTGCTGTCACACAGCTCACAGCAACCTCCAACTCCTGGGCTTAGGCGATTCTCTTGCCTCAACCTCCGGAGTAGCTGGGACTATAGGCGCCCACCACAACGCCTGGCTATTTTTTGTTGCAGTTTGGCAGGGGCCGGGTTTGAACCCGCCACCCTCAGTATATGGGGCTGGCACCCTACTCACTGAGCCACAGACGCCACCTGAGAAACGTAATCTTTTATGCAGCACTTCTCAACCTGTGGGTCACAACCCATAGGAACTGCATTAAAGGGCCACAGCATTAGGATGGTTGAGAACCACTGTTTTTATGAGAAAATAGGGATCTTGAGCCATGAAATATTTGTGTTAAAGGCAGTAAGGATATGTGAATGAATGGCCACATTTTATTGTACCAGTTAAGACTTTTTTTGTTGTTCTTTTAGAAAAACAAATCCTTCATGCAGATTTAAGAATGTAACTATTTTCGGTCCCCATCTCTTGGTTTACTTGATTGCTATAGTTACATGGTAAAATTTTAAATTGGGTAAAGGGTTGTCTTTCTGTTTTTATTTAAAATTGTTTTAAAATTTTTGTTCCGTTTCACTTTACATAGAAGTTTAGGATTAGTTTGTCTACATGTATAATTTATAAAAGTATATTGCTTAGATTTTCACAAAAAGAGTTAAATCTGTAGATTAATTTGTTGAGAATTGGTGTCTTTACCATGTTGAGTCTTGCAGTTTATAAATACAGTAGGTCTCTTTAGTTAAGGATTCCTCAGTTTATTTCATTAGTATTATAATTTTCAGTATATATGTGTAGAACCTATACATTTTTGTCAGAATTTGCATCTAGAGTGTTTTAATGGTTGGTTTTTCTTTTTGAGTGACTAAATGGCACTGATTTTTTTTTTTTTTGAGACAGAATCTTACTATAACACCCTCTGTGGAGTGCCATGGTGTCTCAGCTCACACGAACCTCAAATTCTTAAGTGATTCTCTTGCCTCAGCCTCCTAAGTACAGGTGCCCACCACAACGCCAGGCTATTTTTTGTTGCAGTTGTCGTTGTTTAGCTGGCCCAGGTGGGTTTGAACCCGCCAGCCTGGGTGCATGTGGCTGACACCCTAACTACTGATATTTAAATTTTCACTTCCATATGGTTTTTGATAGTATACAGAAATATAATTATCTTTGTATGTTTGCTGTCCTGTAACCTTGCTGAGTGCACTTACTCTTTTTCACCATTTAAAAAAAATAGAATCCTTGGAATTTTCTACATGGAAATGTCATCTACAGATAGTTTTTCTTTCATCCCATTTATATTTTTCTCTCTTTTTTTTTTTAAGAGACAGGAGTCTCACTTTGTCGCCTTCAGTCGCCTGTGAGCATCACAGCTCACAGCAACCTCCAGCTCTCAGGCTTAGGTGATTCTCTTGCCTCAGCCTCCCAAGTAACTGGGACTACAGGTGCCCGCCAAAACACCCAGGTATTTTTTTGTTGTTGTTGCACTTTGGCCAGGGCTGGGTTTGAACCTGCCACCCTTGGTATATGGGGCCAGCACCCTACTCACTGAGCCACAGGTGCCGCCCACCATCTATATGTTTTTTATTGCCTTTTTTATCTTATACAAGCTTGGACTTGCAGTATAATGTTCAATTGGTTAATACTGATAAGTTTTATTAATAGATGTTCTTTATCAAGTATAGAAAATTCCCCTCTGTTCCTAGGTTTCTGAGACTCAGTTGTTATGAATGAGTGTTGGATTTGTCAACTGCTGTTTCTATAATTGACAGAGTTTTGAGTATTGAGCCAGCCTTGTAGAGTATAATTCATCTTCTATATCATTTAGCATCATTCCATTTGTTTGGGATATTTTTGGAATTTTTTTGTTTGTTTTTCTTTCTTTCTTTCTTTCTTTTTGAGACAGAGTCTCACTTGTTGCCCTCTATAGAGTGCTGTGGCATCACACTTCATAGCAACCTCCAGCTCTTGCACTTAGGCCAGGGGTCCTCAAACTTTTTAAACGGGGCCAGTTCCCTGTCCCTCAGACCATTGGAGGGCCGGACTGCAGGCCCCAGGATGAGTCAGCTGCTAAGCGGGACAGGCAGTGGGCGGCACCCGGCGGGCTGGATAAATGTCCTAGGTGGGCCGCAGTTTGAGGATGCCTGGCTTAGGAGATCTCTTGCCTCAGCCTCCCGAGTAGCTGGGACTACAGGCTCCAGCCACAACGCCTGGCTATTTTTGTTGCTGTTGCAGTTTGGCCAGGGCCAGGTTCGAACCTACCACCCTCAGTATATGTGGCAGGTGCCCTACTCTCTCAGCCATAGGCACCACCCTTTTTGTTTGTTTTTCAAGACAGGGTCTCACAGTGTTGCCAGGCTAGAGTCCAATGGCCTCATCAGAGCTCACTGCAACCTAAACATCTAGGCACAAGCAATCCTGCTGCCTCAGCCCCTTGAGTAGCTGGGACTATAGGCATGTGCTACCATGCCAAGCTGATTTTCCTATTTTCATTTGATTGTATGTTATTGAGGAAGGTTTCCTCTAATTTTTTGACTAGTTATATATAGCACTTTCTCTCTTTTTTGTTTTGTCCTTTTCTTTCATTTTCTTTCTTTTTTTTTTTTTTTTTTTTGTTTGCGTCTTTGTGTTTTTATCAAGGTTTCATGTCTGATTTTGATGTCTAGGTGATCCTGGCCTCCCACCATGAGTTGAAAGGAGTTCTCTTTTATTCTTTGAAAGACTGTATTTAAAATTTTTGTTCCTTTAATAAATTTGATAACATTCTCTATTAAACCATTGGGCTGGAAATTTTCCTTTTGGAGGCTTTTTGTTGTTGTTGCAGTTTTTGGCCACGGCTGGGTTTGAACCCACCACCTCTGGCATATGGGGCCAACACCCTACTCCTTTGAGCTATAGGCGCCGCCCCTTTTGGAGGCTTTTTAATTACCTATTTATTTTACTGGATAGGTTTAGAACTAGAGTATTTCTCATTTAATACATTTTTTTTTTTTTTGAGACAGTCTCACTTGATCGCCCTTGGCGTCATAGCTTACAGCAACCTCCAACTCCTGGGCTTAGGCGATTCTCTTGCCTCAGCCTCCCGAGTATCTGAAACTACAGGCGCCTGCCACAACACCCAGCTATTTTTTGTTGCAGTTTGGCCAGGGCTGGGTTCAAACCCACCACCCTCAGTATATGGGGCTGGCACCATACCCACTGAGCCACAGGCGCCGCCCCTACATTTTGTAATTGATATAGCAATAGGGTCTGTACTTACGTCTCATTTTATGTCTGATATTGGAATGTGTCTACTTACTTTATTCTCTTTTTATTCTTAGACATTTATCAGTTTTATTGATTATGTCAAAGAACCTGCACTTTATATCATCTTTATCTTAATTTTTTTCCTTTTTTTCTTGTTTTGGTTGTGTTTGTTTCTTAGTAATGTCAAGAAGTGAGCATTTAGAGGCTTTTTGCTTTTTTAAACTAAGCATTAAATTATGTGAATTGGCTCAGCGCCTGTGGCTCAAGCGGCTAAGGCACCAGCCACATACACCTAAGGTGGTGGGTTCGAATCCCCAGCCCGGGCCTGCCAAACAACAATGATGGCTGCAACCAAAAAATGGCCAGGCGTTGTGGCGGGTGCCTGTAGTCCCAGCTACTTGGGAGGCTGAGGCAGGAGACTCGCTTGAGCCCAGGAGTTGGAGGTTGCTGTGAGCTGTGATGCCATGGCACTCTACCCAGGGGAATAGCTTGAGGCTCCATCTAAAAAAAAAATAATAATAAATAAATAAATTATGTGAATTTACCTCATGACACTGTTAGCTTTATTCCATAAGTTTTAATATGTTTGTATTACATTTTTTTCTAATTTTGATATTTCTTGATTTTTTTTTTTCTGAGGCATCGTCTCTCACCTATGAATTGTTTAGAAGTATAGTGTTTAATTTTGTGGTGTTTGGAGTATTTCCTGCAGCTTATTATTGATTCCTAATTTGTGTCACATTTGATCTGTTCAAATGTATTGACCTTTTTTTATGACCCAGGATATGGTCTGTCTTCTGTATGGCTACTTGAAAAGAATGTGTGTTCTGCTATCATGCATTTTATAGAAACATGGGATTTCCATAAATGTCTCCATGATCCTGTTGGTTGGAGGTACTATCCAGGTTTGCTGTATCCTTGCTGATTTTCTGTCTTATATTTCTGTCAGTTGCTGAGAGAGGGCTGTTAAAGTTTTGAACTGTAATTGTGGAATTTCCTCTTCTGAAGTTCTGTCACTTTTTTCACATAATTAAAAGCTCTGTTTGGTACCTACACATGTAAGTTTGTTGATGACCCTTTTATCATTTTATAATGGCCTTTTTGCCTGTCAGTAGCCTTTTCAATACTTTAATATTGCTATAGTCACTGTTACATTGTTTAATGTTTGTATTGTTTATGTTTTTCTTAATCTTTTTTTTTTTTTTTTGAGACAGTTTTAGTATGTCGCCCTTGGTAGAGTGCTGTTGGTACCATATAGCTCACAGCAACCTCAAACTCTTGGGTTTAAGTGATTCTCTTGCCTTAACCTCCCAAGTAGCTGGGACTTCAGGTGCCCACCACAACGCCTGGCTAATTTTTTGTAGTTGTTGTCATTGTTGCTTAGCAGACCCAGGCCAAGTTCGAACCCACCAGCCCTAGTGTATGTGGCCAGTGCCCTAACTACTGAGCTATGGACACCAAGCCTGTTTTTCTTAATCTTATTTTAAGCTTTTTCTATGTCATTACATTTGAAGTATGTTTCTTGTTGATCAGTGTATATTCAGTCCATGGTTTTTTCTCCATTTTGCATATATCTGTCTTTTAATTGGTAAATTTAGACCATTTAAATTTAAAATAATTATTGGTACATTAGGGCTTACATCTGCCATTTTATGATTTTATTTTTGTTTCTGTTCCCTTTTCATTGTTCCTTTCCTGTCTTTGTTATTACTTGTCT